CGACATCACAAAAACACATTCACACTCATGAGTGAATCACACACTACAACTCGACACACACTGCAACTCGACACACACTGCAACTCGACACACACTGCAACTCCACACACTACAACTCGACACACACTGGAACTCGACACACACTGCAACTCGACACACTGCAACTCCACACACTGGAACTCCACACACTGCAACTCCACACACACTGCAACTCCACACACTGCAACTCCACACACACTGCAACTCCACACACACTGCAACTCCACATACTGCAACTCCAAACACACTGCAACTCCACACACACTGCAACTCCACACACTGCAACTCCATACACTGCAACTCCACACACACTGCAACTCCACACACACTGCAACTCCACACACTGCAACTCGACACACACTGCAACTCCACACACTGCAACTCGACACACACTGCAACTCGACACACACTGCAACTCCACACACACTGCAACTCCACACACTGCAACTCGACACACACTGCAACTCCACACACTGCAACTCGACACACACTGCAGCTCCACACACACTGCAACTCCACACACTGCAACTCCACACACTGCAACTCCACACACACTGCAACTCCACACACACTGCAACTCGACATACTGCAACTCCACACACTGCAACTCCACACACTGCAACTCCACACACTGCAACTCCACATACTGCAACTCCACACACTGCAACTCCACACACTGCAACTCCACACACTGCAACTCCACACACACTGCAACTCCACACACACTGCAACTCGACATACTGCAACTCCACACACTGCAACTCCACACACTGCAACTCCACACATTGCAACTCCACACACTGCAACTCCACACACTGCAACTCGACACACTGCAACTCGACACACACTGCAACTCGACACACACTGCAACTCGACATACTGCAACTCCACACACACTGCGACTCCACACACTGCAACTCCACACACTGCAACTCCACACACTGCAACTCGTCACACACTGCAACTCAACACACACTGCAACTCGACATACTGCAACTCCACACACTGCAACTCCACACACTGCAACTCCACACACTGCAACTCCACACACTGCAACTCGACACACACTGCAACTCGACACACACTGCAACTCTACATACTGCAACTCGACATACTGCAACTTCACACACTGCCACTCCACACACTGCAACTCCACACACTGCAACTCGATACACACTGCAACTCGACATACTGCAACTCGACACACACTGCAACTCGACACACACTGCAACTCGACATACTGCAACTCCACACACTGAAACTCGACATACTGCAACTCGACACACACTGCAACTCCACACACTGCAACTCCACACACTGCAACTCGACATACTGCAACTCGACACACACTGCAACTCCACACACTGCAACTCCACACACTGCAACTCCACACACTGCAACTCGACACACACTGCAACTCGACACACACTGCAACTCGACATACTGAAACTCCACACACTGCAACTCCACACATTGCAACTCCACACACTGCAACTCCACACACTGCAACTCGACACAGCGCAACTCGACACACACTGCAACTCGACACACACTGCAACTCGACACACACTGCAACTCGACACACACTGCAACTCGACATACTGCAACTCGACATACTGCAACTCCACACACACTGCGACTCCATACACTGCAACTCCACACACTGCAACTCCACACACTGCAACTCGACACACACTGCAACTCGACACACACTGCAACTCGACATACTGCAACTCCACACACACTGCAACTCCACACACTGCAACTCCACACACTGCAACTCCACACACTGCAACTCCACACACTGCAACTCGACACACACTGCAACTCGACACACACTGCAACTCGACACACACTGCAACTCGACAAACACTGCAACTCGACATACTGCAACTCGACATACTGCAACTCCACACACTGCCACTCCACACACTGCAACTCCACACACTGCAACTCGACATACTGCAATTCGACACACACTGCAACTCGACACACACCGCAACTCGACATACTGCAACTCGACACAAACTGCAACTCGACATACTGCAACTCCACACACTGCAACTCGACATACTGCAACTCGACACACACTGCAACTCCACACACTGCAACTCGACATACTGCAACTCCACACACTGCAACTCGACATACTGCAACTCGACACACACTGCAACTCCACACACTGCAACTCCACACACTGCAACTCGACATACTGCAACTCGACATACTGCAACTCCACACACACTGCAACTCCACACACTGCAACTCCACACACTGCAACTCCACACACTGCAACTCGAAACACACTGCAACTCGACATACTGCAACTCGACACACACTGCAACTCGACATACTGCAACTCCACACACTGCAACTCGACATACTGCAACTCGACATACTGCAACTCGACACACACTGCAACTCCACACACTGCAACTCCACACACTGCAACTCCACACAC